GTGAGGAGAACTGAAAGTCGAAGCGCTGAAGGACCTGGTGCACCATGTGTGACTTAGTCAAAGCGATGGTGCGTTGTGCTCTGTCCCGGGTGATCTGCAAGCCAAGATAGCTCCGCAGCTCACCCATGTCAGTGCAAGTGTGTCTCTTCTGCAGTTCCACCTTCACAAGGGTCAGCGCCTCAGTGTCAGCAGTAGTAAAGACCAAGTCGTTGACGTACACGAGGATGTAGAACGGTGGCAGGGTAGGGTCGGTGCGCAGAAACAGCGACGGGTCAGCAGTCGAAGGAGCAAACCCAAGAGCCGCAAGCGTCCTCCTCAGTGGGTCGTGCCACTCGCGGGGTGCCTGGCGAAGACCATAGACCGGCCGCCGGAGGATCCACTGGGTACCTTTAGGAAACGACCTAGTGAAGCCAGGTGGGCGGCGCAGCCAGATCTCCTCGTGAAGGCTGCTCTGCAAGAAAGTTGTGGAGAAGTCGAGGGAGTGCAGTTCGTAGTCACGCTGTGCTGCAACGTGCAGTAACACCCGAAGAGTGGTCATCTTTGGGGTGGGGGAGAAGGTCTGGAAGAAGTCGACCCCCTCTCGCTGACTGAAGCCTCGAGCAACATAACTTGCCTTGAAGGCAGGAGGAGAACCCGGCGGCCGCTTCACGCTGAAAATCCAAATGCCATCGACTATGCTTGCCCCACAAGGAGGAACCTCGTTGATGTAGGTGCCTGTGGATATCCAGGAAGCCATCTTTGCGTCCATAGCTGTTTGCCACTGAGAGGAGTACTCACTCGTGATCGCCTCAGTGTAAGAGCGCGGGGTGGAGATGTCTAGTGCATCCGGGTCTCCCTCAAGGCAAAGCAGCATGGACGCGAAACGGAGTAAAGCAGTCGTGAGACACTCGAGCTCAAACTTCCTGTCCTCAAGGACGACACTGCTAAGGGCAAGCTCACCCCTGACGGACGGAGGACATACGGAATCAGACTCAGTAACAAGACTCGCAACGTAGTCGAGAGGACGGGTAGCAGCAAAGACGACTAGCTCAGTTACTAGGGCAGACGCAGTAGTAGACTCGAAGGAAGGGTCAGTGACGACAGTGGCGAGGAGACGAGTGACAGTAGGACTAGCAGCACGAGCACGGTTAGACTCAGGGTCAGGACGTCAGAGGACACGGCAGGGCAACACACTGTGGAACAGAGGAAGGAATAAGTGCCATAGTGTGCGTGCCGAGGACTGGTGGAGGACGAGGACGACGAGCACGACTGACAGTGCGAACAGGGGAGGTAGGACGAGATGCAGGCTCACGATGCTCTTTCAGGGAGCCTGTCTGCGCAGGGTAAGGAGAAGGAGCAGGCAGTGGGGAGCCAAGCAGTAACTGGGGCTGTGACTGGTCAGGTGGAGGATAGAGGAGAGGCGGATCAGACCAGTGGAAGACGGAAAACTAAGAACCAGACGAAGAGCCGAGTCAGGCAGTGGCAGGGACGCCTGTGGCTGCAAGTAGAAAAACGGTCAGCGTGGCACAATACCCGTACCGCCAGCAGCCCTAGCACATCCACTACCACCAGCTCCAGCACCTCCAGTACCTCCAGCTCCAGCACCTGCAGTACTAGTACCTCCAGCACCACCAGCTCTAGCACCAGCACCTCCAGCACCAGTACCTCCAGCACTAGTAGCTCTAGCACCTCCTACACCTCCAGCTCTAGCACCTCCAGCACCAGCAGCTCCAGTACCTCCAGCTCTTACACCTCCAGCACCAGTAGCTCCAATACCTCCAGCATAAGTAGCTCCAGTACCTCCAGCACCAACACCTCTAGCACCAGCAGCTCCAGTACCTCCAGCACCAGCAGCTCCAATACCTCCAATACCTCCAGCATCAGCAGCTCCAGCACCAGCAGCTCCAGTACCTCCAGCTCTAGCACCTCAAGCAGGAGCACCCACGACTCCACCACCACTAAAACTCGCAGCACCCCTAGTCTCAGCACCCCCAGAACCGGCACCCCCAGAACCAGAACCCCCAGACTCAGCACCCCTAGAGTCAGCAACCTCAGAACCAGCACCTCCAGAGTCCGCACCTCTAGTGTCACCACCCCCAGCAGCACCAGAGTCAACAACAACAGGCTGCGGAGGCGGCGAAGACGACCGAGGCGGAAAACTAAGAGGGGTCTCCAAGCACGGGGAGCAGTGAGTAGTCGCCGTGTCGTCAGCAGCGGGGTCACCCCCCTCAGCTGGGCCAGAGGTGTCAGAGGAGACCTCTAAAGGCTGAACCAAGGGGGGTGGGTCGACCTGAGATACACCTGAAGGAGCAGGACCCTGTAAGGGGGAGGGGGTCTACCGGGGGGGGACCTGGGACCAGGAAGAGGGGCGGCGGGGAGAGTGGGGAAGACACGTGCGGGTGGAGACGGTAGAAGCAGACTGCCTCGTCAGAGGTGACGTCATATGAGAATAGGACCCGGCTCGAGGCAGGGTGGTAAAACTACCAGGGCGGGGCGTTGGTGGGGAAGCTAAGGAGGGTGCGAGAAGAGAGCTTGCCCGCAGTGGTATCGTGAATAAGGGAGAGCGCGGCCCAGACCCGAAACACCGACGCATCGCCAACCTCCCCCGTCCAATGCAGTGTAGGCGAGGTCTCTGGCACAAAGACACGAGGCCAGAGGTTGAGCTGATGTGCGGCGTATCGGATCGCAAACGACCACAGAAAAGGGGAGCAGCCGCATGGATCATGGAGGTGCGAGCAACCTCCATGACCAAGCCAATGCGACGCTCTGCAATCACATTCTGCTACGGAAAGGGCAGAAGCGTGAACGACCGGGCGATTCCCTCCGCACGACAAAAGTCCCGAAGGAGGACGGAGGAAAACTCACCGCCTCTGTCGCGGGACCAGGAGGTCCTGCTGAAACAGCGCGCTCAGCTGGAGACAAAGAGCGATGATCCAATCGATCAAAACACCGCGGACATCCACCTTGCTCCGCAAGGGGAAGAGCATGGTGTAGCGCGTGTAGTCCTCAAAAACCAGCAGAAAGTAGCGTTCCTGGTCCTGTCCACAGACGCGGGCTGGGCCCCACACGTCCATGTGGAGAGTCTGCAGGGGAGCAGTGGTCGGCGGAAACGAGGAGGAGTGAGGAGCGGCGTGCTGCCGCCCCTTGACGCAGGGAAGGCACGGCGGTGCAAGCGATTGCGGGAGCGGGGGCAGGGACATGGGGATGCCAGAGACAAGGAGACGACGCAAGCGTGACAGGGAGGGGTGACCAAGACGGTGGTGCCAGATGAGAGTCTGGTGCGAGAGTAGCCGGCACGAACAAGACGCAGCTAACTGACCCGACGCATCTACTTGACCCGACGTAGTTACCTGACCCGACACATCTACCTGTGCAGACTCTGTGGTCAGTGCGTACAGGCCAGACCCAGGGCTCCGACTGAACGTGGCGAGGTGCTCGCCAGTGCGTGAGTCCGTACAGATCGCCACAAGCTCACCCCAAGGAGTAGTCACAGTGACAAACTGGTTTCTGGAGGACAGCATTACTCACCAAGTTCTTAAAGAACGAGGGGGGGTGGAATCCTGTGAGGGAGCCTGAGGGGGCTGCCGGACACGTGAGAACTGTGGAGGCATGTGCTACAACTGGGCCCACAGAGGGGTCAGCCAGAGAGACCGGACAGGTGTAGTGAGCGGTGTGACTGTGGTGCAGTCGCGAAAGAAGCAGCGAGTCGCGCCTGAGTCAAGCGTGAAGGTGTGCAAAGCCTTTACAGAAACTGCACCTGTGCTACCAGGCTCACAGGCACCTTGACTAGTAGCCTCTGCACTACCAGGGACGCGTCGCTAAGAAACCCACTCGAGGCTGCTGCAGTGAGAGGGTCTCCTGCTGACGCTGCTGCTGCTGCTGTCCAGTATCTCCAGGCACCATAACCTCCACCACCAGGACGGCCTTGCTGAATAACCCACTCACGAAGCTACTGTGGCGAGAGAGTCTCATGGCGACGAGACCGCCGCCGCTATCCAGTACCGCCAGCACGTATGAAACCATAACCTCCACCACCAGGACGGCCTCGCTGAATAACCCACTCGTGAAGCTGCTGCGACGATAGGGTCTCCGGCTGACGCTGCTGCTGCTGTCCACCGCGAGACACTGCTATGATTGTGATAGTGGCCATAACAGGCAGTGGCAGTTAGTAGCAGCGGCGCAAGGGCGTCAGAAGCGGCCGCTGTAGTTGCAGCTGTAGCAGTAGCGGTAGTCGCTGTAGGGGTAGGGCAGCGCACGGGCTGCAGGGCTGGGCAGCGCGCAGGCTGCAGGGCAGGGCGGCGCGCGGGTGCGGACAGCAGGGCAGTGCAGTGCGCGGGCTGCAGGGCAGTACGGGTAGCAGCGCAGCACGCACGGCAGCAGGGCAGCGCGCGGCAGGGCAGCGCAGAGCAAGGCAGCGCGATAGCGCTGGGCAGGGCAGGGCAGCAGCGCGAGGCGAGCAGGGCAGCACGCGTCGGCAGCAGCTCCTGGGGCAGTACGTACGGTGTGGGTGGGCCCTAACGGAGCGGTTCTACAAAGGGACCTGCTCTGAATACCATGACAGAAATAAAACGTAAAAATGGTTGACTAGTAGGGAAAAGTGAGTACAAGTACTAGGAATGACCTAAGGTGTTGTACTCCTTGAAGTACGCCCCACTACAGCCTAGAGATAATAAATGCAATTTGACAGTCCACCCTCATTCACTAATGTACCGGTACGCCTCCAGTGAGCACTCCTGCAAAGTTTCCATATGTTTTGCTTGCTCCTTCCTTAAGCTGAAAGCTGGACAATCGCCATTGCTTTGTAGAGTTGTGACCATGGCCATTTGCCCCAACACAAGGAGCTCAATACACGATGAGAAGAGTTGGGAAGGAAGAACAAGGGTTACAAAATCTGATGTTGGGCATTCAACACACACCACCCAATCATAACTATTCATAAGCCTCAACGGTTCAATGCCAATCCTATCTACCCAAATGTACAGTGGTGGGAACACCATTCCTCTGCACCTCCACCCGGCAAATCAGCCGCTGCCCATCGCAATCAGAGTGACCGCCAGCACAGGCGCTCGGAGAGGATCGACCCGGGGTGGAGGAAAGATGGGAGGAGGCAAGAGGAGCGGAGGGAGGAAGAGGGTTGTGAGGATGGGAGGAGCCAGGACTAGAGGAGGGCGGATGGGGGGAGCGAGGGTGATGGGAGCCAGGAGGAGAGGAGGGGAAAGAGAGAGGATGTGGGTGGGAATTGGAGGAGGATGGCATGGAGAGGAGGCGGCGGAGGATGGGGTCGGAGAGACAGGTGTCGCTGGGGGTGGGGGACGTGGATGCGCCTGCACAATGGGTTTGGGGGGAACCGAAAGAGGGGGGTGGGGAAAGAGGGTGGTGATGGCGTGATGAGGTGACGGGGTGATGAAGTGATGAGGTTCTGCAGTACTCACCAGAAGCATCAACAACAGACGCCCAGCAGCAGCAGTGGCAGAGTGGAAGATGACGTGTGCGAGGCGCTGCTTGGCTTGAAGTGACCTGATGCAATGAGATGATGATGTTCGGCGGTTCTCACCAGGAGCAGACGCATTTGAAGCATCAGCAGCAGCAGCATTAGCAGCATCACCACCAGAAGCAACAGCATTAGCACCACCGCCAGTGGCGGAGTGGAAGATGACATGGGCGAGGCGCTGCTTGGCCTGAGCGCAGCGCAGCTTGTACATCTCCCCCATGCCCTCCAGCAGCAGTCGATACACATGCACCCGCCGCTGCTGCCCTGTGCGCCACACCCGCGAGATGGCCTGTGGGGAGTGCAGGTGGGGAGGGGGGACGAAGATTGCTGCGGAGGGAGGGACAGCAGCCAATGAGTGTGCACCACCTGCTGCTGCTGCCCTGAGTGCCACACTCTGAGAACTGCCTGAGGCAGATGGTGGTTGGGGAAGAAAGATGGTGGGGATAACAATATAAGTGGGAAAGAAGGATGGTGGGACAAACAGGGTATTGAGAGCTCGAACAAACTTGGGGACCTACGGCCGTTTCCTGGATGAGTCAGCATTTGATGCTAAACAATGCTGCATCGGGTTGACATACCTGCTGGTCAGAATCCACCCTGCACCCGACCTGACAAAACACCTGATCATACACCTTACCCGGCACCTTACCCTGCACCTTACCCCGCACTTTACCCCATAACTGGCACCCCTCACACCTGCTAATTGGAGTCAATCCACACTTCCCCCCCCCACACACACCTGCTGGTCGGAAGCTGGGTTCCAGAGTGCATCCAGCATGACGACTCGCGAGGCGGCCGTGAATTCGATGCCCAGCCCACATGCCTTCACGGCCGCATGCACGCACACCAACCCATACCTGTTGATCAGATGCCGGGTTCCAAAGGGCATCCAGCATGACCACCCGTGATGCGGCCGTGAAGTCGATGCCCAGCCCGCATGCCTTCACGGCCGCCACCATCACCGCTGCTTGCGGCACCTTCTCCTTCTGGAACCGCTCGAACGAGTCGCTGCGCTGCGATTGAGTCATGCTGCCGTCCACCCGCAACACCTGCTCGTCTCCTGTCCAGTTCCTGCCGTTCAAACAAGACATTGAGGGATTTCATTTCTGAACTCGAGACACCGGGAATGCGTCGCTGCGCTGAGCTTGCGACATGCTGCCATCCACCCGCAACACCTGCTCGTCTCCTGTCCAGTTTCTGATGGTTCAGATGGGAGTGCATTGCGTGATGATGAGAGGATGAGATGCATTCTGGTCGTCCACACACACACAGGACCTGCTCGCCCCGCTTCCAATGCCTGCAGGTTCAAACGGAGCAAGTTCAAGGGAGTCCACGTGGACAGATAAGGAAACTCTGAGGTGGCGCGATACACCTGTGAGCGAGCACGTACGCGTGCGCCTGCTCACTTCCTGCCCAGACTCTGGTGCTTAGACCAAGCGAGTTGTGATGAGAGGCAGTGCATGAGAGAAAGACCGCGCGCAGCATGTGCTAGTCTCTATTCTGTCCAGCTCCAGGCAATTTAGAAGGAAAGCGTTCATGTGGGGATGGCATGGCACATGGCTGTGGCAACTCACATGGAGTGGCACAGCGACCCCACAACAAGGTCCAGGTGCACGTGCTCCTCGGCAAACACCACCACCTTCTCGCCCATGCGCACACAGCATGGTACCTGGGAGTCACACCTTGAACGGGGCTCCTGTCCGTTGCCCATCCCATAGCCAACACTCACATGGCATGGCACAGCGACCCCACCACGAGGTCCAGGTGAACGTGCTCCTCTGCAAACACCACCACCTTCTCGCCCATGCGCACCGCCGCGCGCACGATCGCCACCACGGCTGCCAGCTTGGGGGACAGCTGCACGGCCTGCTGCGCTTCCATGGCCGCCCACGCTGGGCTCAGCGCCTCCCTGTTGCGCTCCAGACACCGCACCTCGTTCTGCACAACCCCGCCACGCGATTTGCCTTGCACTTTGCTTCCACCAGCGGCATCAGTGCTACCACCCAGAGATTTCCCACCCTCTCCTCCTCCTGCTGCTCCAGCTGCTCCAGCTGCTGCTGGTGCTGCTGGTGCCGGTGGTTGAAATTGTCGCATGGCGAGCATGGCTTGAGGCATGCCTTGGATGCCGCGGTTGAGCTTCCAGGCGAAGGCGCAGGGGTGCACGCACAGGCTGCCCACGATCTTGAGATCGATCATCGACAGCTGCCACTCCGTGCCGCCGCCGCCGCTGCTGCTGCTGCTGCTGCTGCTGGGATCAGTAATGCTGCTACAGGCACCAGTGATGCTCCTGCTGTTGCCGTTGCTGTTGCTGTTTTTGGTGTTGGTGTTGCTGATCCTGTTGCTGGTGTTGCGCAGCAGTGCCTGCTGCTGCTGCAGGTGCTGCTGGGCGAGGCGGGGGGCAACAGTGGCGGAGTAGAAGGCACGCAGGATGGCCAGCTGGAGAGGCGTGGGGTGTAGCAGAAGTGTCACGTCCACCAAGTCTGGAGGGAGGCGGGTCAAAGGTACAGGGAGATTATCAGCAGCGGCACGCTATAAAGGCATGCAAAAGGAACATGGCAAAGCATGTACAATTCAGCATGACTTTTCATATATATATATATATAAATATAAATTTAATAATTATTATTTTTTCCGCATTCTTCTTGCCTTGCATGTTCCTTGCTTTCCTGCCATGCTTTCCTCTCTGAACCGGCCCATCTCTCATACCTCTCGGCTAGCCCTGCAACCCTCCTGCTGCCATGCGTCCTTCACAGCGTACCTCTCAGATTGCCCTCATACCGCCCTAACCGTACCTCTCAGCTTGCCCTGCACCATGTTGCCATCTGTCTGCACGAGACGAGGTCAAACATGAGCTCTTTCAGCCGCTGCGCCTTTGACCTCTGAGGCACCTCACAGCGTACCTCTCAGTCTGCCCTCATACCACTGTAGCCGTGCCTCTCAGTTTGCCCTGCGACACATTGCAATCTCTCAATCGTACCTCTCAGTCTGCCCTCATACCACTGTAGCCGTGCCTCTCAGTTTGCCCTGCGACACATTGCAATCTCTCAATCCTACCTCTCAGTTTGCCCTGCAGCACATTCCCATCGGTCTGCACGAGGTCAAACATGAGCGCCTTCAGCCGCTGCACCTTCGCCAATGGAAACTCCTCCGCTCCCACCCCCTCGCACTCACCCCTCCCCCTCGCTCCTGCCTTCTCCCTCCCCTCCCCCCCCTCTACCTCCTTTCCTTCCTCCTCACCCGCCTCCCTGCCCTCCCCTTCCTCCTCTTCCATATTCTCCACACCATTATCCTCTTCCTGCTGCTCCTCCTCCTCCTGTTGCCACTGTCTCTTCCCCCCTCGCTCCTTCCTCCTCCTCCCATCCTTCCTCCCGGTCTTCTTCAGAGGAACGTCAAATATTTGAACAAACTCCGCCCGCGCTCGCCGCCGCTCCCTCCTTTCCCTCTTGCTCAGATATGCACCCCCCTCCTCCACCTCATCCTCCTCCTCCACCTCATCCTCCTCCATCTCATCCTCCTCCTCCTCCTCCTCCTCCTCCTCCTCCTCCTCCTCCTCCTCCTCCTCCTCCTCCTCCTCCTCCCCCTCACCACTATCATCATCCTCCTCCATCCCTACCGCATCCTCCCCCTCGCCTCCACTTTCCTCCTCGCTCCCCCTCTTGTGCACGCTCCTCCCCCTGCCCTTTCCTCCGCCCTCCCCTTTTCCCCCGGTCATCCCCAGCACAGCGCGGTGCATGCGGGGGCGGTGCACGAAGCACGCCAGGTCCCAGAGCTCGAGAGTGGAGTTCTGCAGCGGCGTGCCGGTCAGCAGGACCCTCCTTCGCGTGTGCAGGCGATCCAAGGCCTGGTCGAAAGGGAAATTGGGAAGCGGAGCAGGCAGGAAAATTGGGAAGGGGGGCAAGAGAGCGGAAACAAAAGGTGCCGTTAGATTAACAACAAACACATAACAAGCGAAAATACCCCGTGCTCTGAACCGTACCCATCCCCAGCACAGCATGGCGCATATGAAAAAGCAGCCGGATGCGACAGGCGTAGTGTGCACGCCACAACACAGCACACCACGCTCGCTCACCCGGTGCGAGATGGTGGAGGGCGATTTGATGCAGTGGCCCTCGTCGCAGATGAGCACATTTGTGTCCTCCACCACATGTGATGATGTGACAGCCCAGCATGTGACACCCCTGCAGGTGCAGCACGCTTACCCGATGCAAGATATCAAAGCAGCACCACACATGTCACACGCACTCTGTGCTTACCCGGTGTGAGATGGTGGAGGGCGATTTGATGCGGTGGCCCTCGTCACAGATGAGCACATCCGTCTCCTCCACCACCATCCGTCTCACCTCGCCCCTCGCCCACACCCCCTCCTCCCGCCCCTGCGACCCCAACCCCCCCACCCCGCCTGCCCTTCCTGCCCCCCCTACTCCCCGCTTCTCAATCACCCCTTCCAGAAACCCATAAGTCGCAATCAACACACCACCCTTAGCAGCCCACGTCTTGGCCACCCTCTCTGCTTCTCGTATCCCCCCTGCGCCCCCGCCTTCCAGGACTTTGAGGGAGGGGATGACAGCGCGCTGGGAGCGGGTGGTGATCCACTTGTGGAACTCGCCCCACCATGAGTCCACTATGGAGAGCTCTGTCACGATCAGGATGCGCGGCGGGGTGCCGCTTGCTGCAGACACAGCAGCAGCGGCGCTGAGACGCCCCGTCTCGCCACGATTGAGGCGCTGATGGTGCAGCGAGAGGAGCTTCTCGATGAAGGCAATGGTGGTCAGTGTCTTGCCCGTGCCAGGCGCATGCGCCAAGATGCACCCCCCTACTTCCCTCTCCTGTGATTTTACGTCTCCTCCCCCTGCTCCCACTCGCCCTTCCCCTGGCCTCCCCCCGCCCCCAGCCACCAGGTGGTGCCAGATGAATCGGAACGCAGCAATCTGATGGCTCTGCATCCTCTTTCGGAGGAAATCCGACGGCCAGCAATCGTGCTCCACCCCGATCTCCCCCAGCAGCTGCTGCCGCCGCTCAAGCTCCCGCTCCCGCTCCTTCTCTTTCCGCTGTTTCTCCCTCTCGCGCTGCGCTGCCTGCTCGCGCTGCTGCTCCTCCCGGCGCCACTCTGCCTCTGCAGCCTCCAAGGCTCGCATGGCCTGCTGCGCCTGCAGCTGCATTGGGTTCAGGTGGGGCCGCCTGATGGTCACCACTGCGCCTGCGGAGGGCCGGTTCGGAACCTGTGGACGAGAAACAGAGAAACGGGCGACATGGGAAAAATGGGAGAAACAGGAGGAACGGGGGACACGGGAGTGTGAAGATAAGCGCGTATGCTGCCTGCTCGCGCTGCTGCTCGTCCCTGTCGTCCCTGTCGAGCCTCTGCAGCCTCCAAGGCTCGCATGGCCTGCTGTGACTGCAGCTGCATTGGGTTCAGGTGGGGCCGCCTGATGGTCACCACTGCGCCTGCGGAGGGCCGGTTCGGAACCTGTGGACGAGAAACAGAGAATGGGAAAAATGGGAGAAACAGGAGGAACGGGGGACACGGGAGTGTGAAGATAAGCGCGTATGCTGCCTGCTCGCGCTGCTGCTCGTCCCTGTCGTCCCTGTCGAGCCTCTGCAGCCTCCAAGGCTCGCATGGCCTGCTGTGACTGCAGCTGCATTGGGTTCAGGTGGGGCCGCCTGATAGTCACCACTGCCCCTGGGGAGGGCCGGTTCGGGACCTGTGGACGAGAAACAGAGAAACGGGCGACATGGGGAAAATGGGAGAAACAGGAGGAACGGGGAACATGGGAGTGATGATAAGTGTGTGCGCTGCCTGCTGGCGCTGCTGCTCCTCCCGGCGCCACTCAGCCTCTGCAGCCTCCATGGCTCGCATGGCCTGCTGCGCCTGCAGCTGCATCGGGGTGAGGTACGCCCGCCTGATGGTCACTGCTCCTGGGGAGGGCACGCCAGGGCAGCTTCCATCCCATCCCATGGTCTGCCCGCCTGCTGCATGCGCCTGCAACTGCATTGGGGTGAGGTGGGGCCGCCTTTTGCTCGTCACAACCCTTGGGGACGGCTGGTTCGTTGCCTGTGGGTGGGAGATATGAGGCGGCGAAATTGAGGGCACGGGAGAGTCTTGGAAAAAACGAAAGAGAGACACGGGAGAGGAACGGGAGACACACGCACGGGAGAGGAACGGGAGAGACATGGGAGATGACACGTGCGCTGCCTGCTCCTTCTGCTCCTTCCCTCACCGTCTGCATTGCCTGCTCTGGGTGCTCCCCTTCACGCTTCACCGCACGTGAAGGTATCACTCATGACCCTTCCGCCCTGCTACCCCTCCTAGGTAAACCTTTCGGTTTGCTCGAACCGTAACATGGTATCGAAGCTTCTTGCACGCACACACACATCTCTCCGACTTGGACTTAATGAAAACCGTCTCGAACCGTAACAAGTTTACCTGTGGTTCTTGCTTGAGACGCAGACCTCTTGTCACGGATCATCGCACAACTCACCAGCGACAGCTCGTGGGCGCTCCTGAGAACCACGCCGCACTTGGCACAACCCCCCCCCTTCCACACAGCAAGGCATGCAACAAGCTACAGGCATGCAACAAGCTACAGGCATGCAACGAGGTACAGGCATGCAACAAGCTACAGGCATGCAACAAGGTACAGGCATGCAACAAGCTACAGGCATGCAACAAGGTACAGGCATGCAACAAGCTACAGGCATGCAACAAGCTACAGGCATGCAACAAGCTACATGCATGCAACAAGCTACAGGCATGCAACAAGGTACAGGCATGCAACAAGCTACAGGCATGCAACGAGGTACAGGCATGCAACAAGCTACAGGCATGCAACAAGGTACAGGCATGCAACAAGCTACAGGCATGCAACAAGGTACAGGCATGCAACAAGCTACAGGCATGCAACAAGCTACAGGCATGCAACAAGCTACAGGCATGCAACAAGCTACAGGCATGCAACAAGCTACAGGCATGCAACAAGCAACAGGCATGCAACAAGCTACAGGCATGCAACAAGCTACAGGCATGCAACAAGCTACAGGCATGCAACAAGCTACAGGCATGCAACAAGCTACAGGCATGCAACAAGCTACAGGCATGCAACAAGCTACAGGCATGCAACAAGCTACAGGCATGCAACAAGCTACAGGCATGCAACAAGCTACAGGCATGCAACAAGCTACAGGCATGCAACAAGCAACAGGCATGCAACAAGCTACAGGCATGCAACAAGCTACAGGCATGCAACAAGCTACATGCATGCAACAAGCTACAGGCATGCAACAAGGTACAGGCATGCAACAAGCTACAGGCATGCAACAAGCTACAGGCATGCAACAAGCTACAGGCATGCAACAAGGTACAGGCATGCAACAAGCTACAGGCATGCAACAAGCTACAGGCATGCAACAAGCAACAGGCATGCAACAAGCTACAGGCATGCAACAAGCTACAGGCATGCAACAAGCTACATGCATGCAACAAGCTACAGGCATGCAACAAGGTACAGGCATGCAACAAGCTACAGGCATGCAACAAGCTACAGGCATGCAACAAGCTACAGGCATGCAACAAGCTACAGGCATGCAACAAGCTACAGGCATGCAACAAGCTACAGGCATGCAACAAGCTACAGGCATGCAACAAGCTACAGGCATGCAACAAGCTACAGGCATGCAACAAGCTACAGGCATGCAACAAGCTACAGGCATGCAACAAGCTACAGGCATGCAACAAGCTACAGGCATGCAACAAGCTACAGGCATGCAACAAGCTACAGGCATGCAACAAGCTACAGGCATGCAACAAGCTACAGGCATGCAACAAGCTACAGGCATGCAACAAGCTACAGGCATGCAACAAGCTACAGGCATGCAACAAGCTACAGGCATGCAACAAGCTACAGGCATGCAACAAGCTACAGGCATGCAACAAGCTACAGGCATGCAACAAGCTACAGGCATGCAACAAGCTACAGGCATGCAACAAGCTACAGGCATGCAACAAGCTACAGGCATGCAACAAGGTACAGGCATGCAACAAGCTACAGGCATGCAACAAGCTACAGGCATGCACAGCACACGACTCACCAGTGACAGCTCGTGGGCGCTCCTCAGGACGATGCCGCACTTGGCACACACCTCCCCCTCCATCGCATCCTCCTCCACCACATGCCGCCCCTCGTCGTACCGACACACTCCCTGCCTCCTCACATCGTATGCCCCCATGGGATGACCTGACCGCCCCTCCTCCCTCTCCACATCCTCCTCCTCATCACTCTCCTTGTCAGAACCACCACTGTCATCATCACTACCATCATCGTCATCATCAGTATCTGTCCCATCATTCGCTCCTGAGTTATCATCAGAATCCCCATCACCACCACCACCATCAGTCTTTCCCCCACTCGGCCCATCAGCAGCAGCAGAAGTGCCCTTGCGTTGGTTGAGGGCCATCCACATGTTGATCATATATGCCGGCACAGCGCCCTTTGCTCCCAGTGCCTCCCTTTCGTTGGCAATATTTTCATCTCTCCTCGCTCTCTTCCTGTCACTCCACCTCTGCTGATCTCGCACCTGCTGCTGAATCCGCTGCTGCTGAAGCAAAAGCTGCTGCTGCTGTTGCTGCTGCTGCTGCTGTTGCTGAGACGGCTGCTTCTGCCTGTGCGTTTCAACCCGCTGTTTCTGTGCTGATGCACTGGCAGGAGGAGGGGGAGAGGGAGCAGCAGGGGGAGAGGGGGGAGGAGCAGTGCGGGTTGAAGGAGTGGGAGAAGCAGGATCAGCGGAAGGGGCAGAGGAGGAGGGAGGAGCAGAGGAGGAGGGAGGAGCAGAGGAGGAGGGGGCGGAGGAGGAGGGAGAAGAGGAGGGAGCAGAGGAGGGGGCGGAGGAAGAGGGAGCAGAGGAGGAGGGAGCAGAGGTGGCAGGAGCAACAGGGGTTGAGGCAACAGGTGGGGAGGAGGAGGCGGGGGGAGGCTGAGAAGATGCAATGGGGAGGGCAGACGGGAGAAGCACATCTATGCCTCTCGTGGCTCTTGCACCTGTTGCGTCTGTTGTGGCTGGGATGGGAAGGGGTGGTGCAGGTGAAGCAGAGGGATGGAGGCGAGGAGATGCAATGGGGAGGGCAGACGGGAGAAGCACATCTATGCCTCTCGTGGCTCTTGCACCTGTTGCGTCTGTTGTGGCTGCTGTGGCTGTTGCGTCGGTTGCAGCTGTTGTGGCTGTCGTGTTTGTTGCGGTCCTTGTGGGCTCAGTAAGTCCAGTGGCTTCCTGATCAGCCTCTTCCCGTGCCTCCTCGCCCTTAGCTTCGTCCTCCGCTTCCTCCCCTTGGCCTACAAGCCCCTCCTCGCCTCTCATTTTCACCTCTCCCTGCATCTCCGCTGGGCCTTCCTCGCTGCACATCGCTCCCGGCAGCACATCTCTCTTCCTCTTCTGCGCCCCGCCTCCCTCCACGCCATTACTCTCTCCCCCACACGGATCACAGCACGCCACCTCGTCCCGCCCATTCAAAGGCAAGCATTGCTCTGCATGTGGTGGTGTCTGAGCTGAATCAAAGCCCACCTGCACGCCCCTGTCCTCTTTCACATATGGGGCAGAGCACAGCAGCTCATCTCGTTCATCCCCATGCGCGCTCTGCTCTGCATGTGGTGAAGTCTGAGCCGACCCAAAGCCCACCTCCACGCCCCTGCCCTCTCCTACACACGGAGCCGAGCACACCAGCTCATCCCCATGCACGGATTGCGCTGCATTCGCTGCTTCTTCTCCTCCCTCTCCTGCCTCTCCTCCCTCTCCTGCCTCTCTTGTATCTCCTTCCTCTCCTGCCTCTCGCCCCTGCTTCTCCTCCCATCCGCCCTCCTCCCCGCCCTCCCCACCTCGCTCACCCGCCCCCACCAACTCGTCGTCCAGCCATTCATCCACGGCACTCTTCGCCCTCTTCCACACACGCTCCCAACCCCACACATCCCACTCCTCTTCCCTGCCTCCCCTCTTGCCACTGCTCCTTCCGTCCCCTTCCACCTCCGCATCTGATGCTTTCTCCAAATCTTCCGGTATAGTTTGTGTCGCCTCAGAAACTGCCCTCTCGCCAGTGTTCCTCCCTTCCCCTTCCATCTCAGGTGCCAGTGCACCTTCCATCTCAATCCCATGTTCAGCCTCCTCAATCCCATGTTCAGCCTCCTCAATCCCATGTTCAGCCTCCTCAATCCCATGTTCAGCCTCCTCAATCCCATGTTCAGCCTCCTCAATCCCATGTTCAGCCTCCTCAATCCCATGTTCAGCCTCCTCAATCCCATGTTCAGCCTCCTCAATCCCATGTTCAGCCTCCTCAATCCCATGTTCAGCCTCCTCAATCCCATGTTCAGCCTCCTCAATCCCATGTTCAGCCTCCTCAATCCCATGTTCAGCCTCCTCAATCCCATGTTCAGCCTCCTCAATCCCATGTTCAGCCTCCTCAATCCCATGTTCAGCCTCCTCAATCCCATGTTCAGCCTCCTCAATCCCATGTTCAGCCTCCTCAATCCCATGTTCAGCCTCCTCAATCCCATGTTCAGCCTCCTCAATCCCATGTTCAGCCTCCTCAATCCCCTCCCCCTCCTCCTCGTCATCATCCAGCAACCAGATCACCTCTTCAGCCTCATCCCTCCCGCTCACACCAACAGCCCCATCCTTCACCAGCGCGCTAGAAGCACCCACCACAAGAGGTGCAGCGGCAAGGTGACGAGGGTATCGAGGTCGAGAGCGTTGAACATGGTGGGGGTGGTGAGCACGGCATGGGCCATGGGGGTGATGGGGAATGATGCTACGCGCAGCAAGTAAGCCCCACGCACGGCCCAGCCCCGCCGGTCTCCCCCCACCTCCTGCTTCCACTGCATCACCTTCCTCTCGCATCTTCCCACTCCTTTCTTCCTCATTCCCTTCCTCCTCTCCTGTCACCTGATCTATTCCCTGCCGCCCCTCTTCCTTCCTCTCCTCTTCCTTCCTCTCCTCTTCCTTTCTCTCTTCTTCCTTCCTCTCCACTTCCTTCCTCTCCTCTTCCTTCCTCTCCTCTTCCTTCCTCTCCTCTTCCTTCCTCTCCTCTTCCTTCCTCTCCTCTTCCTTCCTCTCCTCTTCCTTTCTCTCTTCTTCCTTCCTCTCCACTTCCTTCCTCTCCTCTTCCTTCCTCTCCTCTTCCTTCCTCTCCTTTTCCATCATCTCCTCATCCTCTTGATAACGCCTCACCTCCCCACCCTCCTTATCATGCCCAGCATTGTTCCCTATCTCCCCTTCCCTCTCACTGCTCCCTCTCCACTCTCCCCGATCATTCCACCCATCCTCCTCATCCCCCTCCTCCTCTCGAACTTCCCCTTCCTCTAATTCTGAATCCTCCTCCACACCACACTCTCTCCCTCGCACTTTCGCAGGCCCTTCCTCGCACTCACTTCCCCCTCTCTCCCCATCCCCATCCCCTTGCCTCTGCATCGCTCCTCCCACCCTACTCACCCCATCCCTCTCACTCTCCCCACCTCCCATCTTATCATTACGTCCCTTGTTTGACTCATCCTCGTTATTAACACGCTCGTTATAGTCCTCCTCATCACTATCGTCCAGCACAATCACCTCTTTCCCATGCCATGTCTCCATCCTCTCATCCTCTCGCCTCCTCTTCACGTCCTCCTTCCTGTGCATCACCCTCGCTCCCCTCCCTCCATCACCCCCACTTGCGCCAGCAGCACTCCCCAGCCGCTTCCCCTCCTCCCCAGTCCGTTCCATCTCCCCACATGCCCCTACCATTCCGGACAGCTCCTTTTTTTTCTCCTTACTCTTCCCGCCCTGCTCCCTCTCCTCCCCCTGCACTCTCTGCACTCCCTGCCCCTCCTTCCCCCCTTTCTCGCCCTGATCTCCCTCTTCCTTATCCTCCTTCTCCTCTCCTTGTGCACCCTCCTCCCTATCCTCCCCCCCCTCCTCCCTATCCTTCCCTCCCTCCTCCCTCCTCTCCTCGCCCTTCTTTCCCTGCTGAAGCACCTCCCTCTTCCCCACTTCACCTGCCCGCATCTCACACTCACTCGTCCTCACTCTGCCTCCCTCCACTTCCATCCCCGCATCTGGATCCCCTTCGGAATGTCCCTCCCTATTTCCCTTACCAAAATGCCCACATCTCCAACCACTCTTCCTTTCCCCCTCCTGCACGCCCTCATTCCACTCCTCTGCATCGCCTCCCACCATCCCAGCTGCCTCTTTCTCCCCCACTAGCCTCACCCCACTCTCCCCCTCTTCCCTTTCAAAGCATCCCCTTTTCCCTCTGCCCTCCTCATATTCTCCCTCCTCCTCCACCCGAACCTCTTCCGCCCGACCCTCCTCCACCCGGCCCCTCTCCCTCGGACTCGCCTCCCCCTGGCCTGCCTCTTCCTCGTCATCAGACAGAACAATCACATGAGGGGCACCCACAGGCATGCCCAGCAGCCTTCCCCTGCGTGCCTCTCCACCCATGCCCATGCCCTTTCTCGTTTGTGTCTCTCCACCCACAAGCATGGGCATGGGCATGGGCATGGGCATGGGCATGGGCATGGGCATGGGCATGGGCATAGGCATGCCCGTGACCATGCCCCCTCTCGATTGCATCTCTCCACCCACAAGCATGGGCATGGACATGCTCACGAGCCCTCCCCTGTGCGCCTCTGCACGCACCGCGTTGGGATCTGCTGCTACGGGTGCCTCACGGGGGGGCTGCTCACTGCTCCCTTCCTCCGCACGTGCCCCACTCATTCCACCCACACCGCCTCCCCTCTCGCTCGCTAACGTGCACCCTCTGCACCCAACTATCCCTTCCTCCTCTACCTCCTCTTCCTCCTCCCCTCCATCCACCTCCTCCCCTTCCTCCACTTCCTCCCCCTCTTCTAACACCTCCCCTTCCTCCACCTCCTCCATTTCCTCCACCTCCCCTTCCTCCCCCTCCTCTCCCTCTTCTACCACCTCCCCTTCCTCCAATTCCATACTCTCAGTCGCCTCTCTCAGCCTCACAACTTCTTCCCTCCTCTCTTCCCTCCTCTCTTCCCTCCTCTCTTCCCTCCTCTCTTCTCTCACTTCCCACCTCTCTTCCCTCCTCCCTTCCCTCTCCTCCGTCCTCTCTTCCCCCCTCTCTTCCCTCCTCTCCTCTCTCAATTCCCTCATCTCATCCCTCCTCCTTTCCCTCTCTTCTGTCCTCTCTTCCCTCCTCTCTTCTCTCCTCTCTTTCTTCCTCTCTTCCCTCCTCGCTTCCCTCCTCTCTTCCCTCCTCTCTTCCCTCCTTTCTTCCCTCCTCTCTTCCCTCCCTTCCCCCCTCATCTCCTCCCTTAATTGCATACTCTCCCTCTCCCTCTCTTTCTCCCTCTCTCCCTCCCCTCCATTCCTCGCCTCCTCTCCCACATCTCTCACCGTCCCTCTTAACCCACCACCACCACCTAGGCTCGAACCGTGCTCTTCCATCCCCCTGTTGTCGCTTCCAGACCATCTGTCCCTCACAACCGCTTCCAACCTCTCCACACCATTCCTATCCGCATCACCATCACGAGCATCATCACCATCCCCAAGGGAACCAGCACGGCCAACAGAAGGACCAGCAGCGGCAGCAGCAGTGCCAGCAGCAGCAACGCCAGCAAAAGGACCCACAGCAGTGCCAGCACGACCAGCAGCAGCAGCAATGCCAGCAGCAGCACAAGTGGCGGCCCACTCGTCATCGTTCTCTCCCTGGCCCTCTAAACGCTCGCCTCTCAACTCGACACCCCCTGCAGCAGCAGCAGCAGCAGCAGGAGCGCCAGCATTACGGGCAGCTCCAACAGCAGCAGCAGCTTCACCACCAGCATTTACAGTCGCACCCGTACCACCAGCAGCACCAGCACCAGCATCAGCACCAGCATCAGCATCAGCATCAGCACCAGCATGAGCATGAGCATGAGCATGAGCATGAGCATGAGCATGAGCATGAGCATGAGCATGAGCATGAGCATTACCAGCAGCATCAGTGACAGAGCTGCCACCAAGAGCATCCTCCTCCTCGTCACTATCTGACAGCTCAGTCACCACCCTCTGCTGCCTCCCCGTCCCCTCCCTGCCTTGCACCCCTCCCCCCTCCACTCTTCCCTGCACCCCTCCTGCCACTCTTCCAGTCACACCTCGTCCCACCACTCGCCTCTGCACCCCTTGCTCCTCTACTCGCCTCTGCACCCCTTGCTCCTCTACTCGCCTCTGCACCCCTTGCTCCTCTACTCGCCTCTGCACCCCTTGCTCCTCTACTCGCCTCTGCACCCCTTGCTCCTCTACTCGCCTCTGCACCCCTTGCTCCTCTACTCGCCTCTGCACCCCTTGCTCCTCTACTCGCCTCTGCACCCCTTGCTCCTCTACTCTTCTCTGCACCCCTTGCTCCTCTACTCTTCTCTGCACCCCTTGCTCCTCTACTCTTCTCTGCACCCCTTGCTCCTCTACTCGCCTCTGCACCCCTTGCTCCTCTACTCGCCTCTGCACCCCTTGCTCCTCTACTCGCCTCTGCACCCCTTGCTCCTCTACTCGCCTCTGCACCCCTTGCTCCTCTACTCGCCTCTGCACCCCTTGCTCCTCTACTCGCCTCTGCACCCCTTGCTCCTCTACTCGCCTCTGCACCCCTTGCTCCTCTACTCGCCTCTGCACCCCTTGCTCCTCTACTCGCCTCTGCACCCCTTGCTCCTCTACTCGCCTCTGCACCCCTTGCTCCTCTACTCTTCTCTGCACCCCTTGCTCCTCTACTCTTCTCTGCACCCCTTGCTCCTCTACTCTTCTCTGCACTCCTTGCTCCTCTACTCTTCTCTGCACCCCTTGCTCCTCTACTCTTCTCTGCACCCCTTGCTCCTCTACTCTTCTCTGCACCCCTTGCTCCTCTACTCTTCTCTGCACCCCTTGCTCCTCTACTCTTCTCTGCACCTCTCCCCTCCCCATTCTTCTCTCCACCCCTTCCCCTGCCCCCCTTCTCCTCCTCACCCTTCGGGTCCCCGCTCTTCCCTGCACCCCTCCCCCCTCCATTCTTCCCAGCACCCTTGGCTCCTCCACCCTTGGCTCCTCCACCCTTGGCTCCTCCACCCTTGGCTCCTCCACCCCTCCTTGCACACGTCGCTCCTCTCTCTGCTCTGCACCCTCCCTACCTTGTTCTTGCTGCCCCTCACTCCGTGTCTGCCCTTCATTCCACATCGGCCCCTCGCCTTGCGTTGGCCCCTCGCCTTGCGTCGGCCCCTCGCCTTGCGTCGGCCCCTCGCCTTGCATCTGCTCATTCTCTCGCAAGTGTATCCGCTCCTCTCTTTTTCCTTGCTCCCTCCTTGCACCATCTCCCTCCTCTTGCACACTCCTTGCACCCTCTCCCCCTTGCTCCTCCCCTCTTGCACCCTCTTCCTCCCCTTTACTCCTCTCCTCCATTCCCCCATCCTCGCCTCCTGCCCTTCTCTCTGCTTCCTCTCCCACCTCCCTCTCCGTCCCTTCCCAACACTCCCCTCGCTCCGCTTCTCCAGAATTCGACGCATGCTCCCCCTGTGCCTGCAGCATCTGCCTGCTTGACTCCATAAAACCAAGGGGAATCGCAGCGGCAGTGACAGGGGCAGTTGGAGCAGCTGCGGGGACAGTTGCAGGGGCAGTTGCAGGCGCAGTACCAGGGGAGATGTGCTGAGAACTTGGAGGGAGATCCACAGAAGGAAAGGGCTGGGTGCGGGGAGATCCGTGCGCGGAGACCGGGTACTGCATGGGGGGGAGGTTTTGAATGGGGGGCGGGTCTTGATTTGGGGGCGAGGCTTGGGTGGGGAGCGATGCATGAAGTGTGGTTGAAGAAAGGCTGCGAGAGGGACCAGGAGGGGGTTCGAGAACGAGTGCTGGCTGGTCAGGCAGCGGTTCAGCTGCGGAACGGGCACCAGAGGGCTCAGCAGTAGGTGGTTGAGCAGGAGAGGGGTGAGCGTTTTGCTGGGCGGGAAGAGAGGGGGGTTCCAGTACGAGTGGTGGCACAGCAGGGAGTGGAGGAGCCGTGGAATGGACACCAGAGGGCTGGGCGGTTGGCCAGGCAGGGGAGGGCTGAGAGGTAGGTTGAGCAGGAGAGGGCTGGGCAGTGGACTGGAAAGGAGGCGTTGGGTGCACAGGCGCTCCAAGCGCAGAGAAAGGCTGAGCTGCAAAACAGACAGGCGAGAGGTGAGCGACTGGCTGCACAGGCGAGGGGTGGGTGGATGCCTGGGCTGCAGCTGCTTCCCCTGTGATGAGAACCAAGCCAAACCCCTGCAGCACCGCACTCGTTTGCTCCTCACACACCCTGCTCCCCTGGGGAGCCAAGCTGTTGGCCCGCTGAGTCACGCAGCGGACCAGCTGACTCACGCAGCTGGCCTGCTGAGCTGTACTGTCGGCCTGCTGAGTCATGCCAGCGGCCGGAGGCGCTGTGCTGCCAGCAGCAGCTAGGATTGTGCCGAGAGCGGCAGGTAGGGAGAGAGCGACGGGTGGAGGGGCAGGTGCAGCAAGTGCAACGGGTGGGGGAGGGGAGGGAGCAGGGACTGTGGAGGAGTGAGGTGGAGCAGGAGGAACGCCTGTGTCACGTGTGGGCAGAGAGGGGGCAGGTGAGGCAGCAGCAGCAGCAGCAGCAGCAGCAGGTGCCTCAACACGAGAGGGTGGAGGCCCAAACAGCAGCTGAGGAGGGGCATGGCGGCACACCCGATGGCCCCTCGCCCTGCCAAGCTGCCCCCACTGCCCCGCTCCTCGCTTCACTCCTCTCCCTCCCTCTTCTCTCCCTTCCTCTCCTCTCCCTTTCTCTCCTCCTCCCTCGCTCCGTTTCCTGCTCCTCAGATAATGCTGCTGTGTCTCCGGACATTCAACCTCCCCCCTTTCCCCACCCGTTCCTCCACTGCTCATCTCCCCACCCTTCCCCTCACGCCCCTCCTCCCCACCCTGTGCCGCATGCCCCTGATTCCCGCCCAGTCTTTCACCCTCTCCTCTCTCACCATCCTCCCCACCTTCCCCACCCTCCCCGCCTTCACTACCCTGTCTGCAGGATTGCCGATCACTCTCCTCTTCATCTCCCTCTTCGCCCGTCGCACCACAGGCGACCCACCTCGCCTGGGACGCCAGCGCATCTGATGGGTGCCGTGTAATGCGCCTCACCAACCTCACCTTTAAAGCCCCCCGTGGATCAGACGGTTGACGTGTGACGCACCTCAACCCATCCACATCAGTCTGTCCTTCCTCCCTCTCGCAGCCGCCTTCAGCAGCCTTGCCGTTTCCGCTTCCGTCTTCCTCCTCCTCATTCTCCTCCTCCGTATTCTCCTTTTCTTTCACCTCATGTCTCTCCTCCGGGTTCTCCTCCTCTTTCTTCTCCACTTTCTCCCCCGTCTCCTCCATATCTTTCTCCTCTTTCTGCCCTTCTCTCGCCTCTATCTCCTCCTCCTGTTTCTCCTCCTCTTCCTCCCCTTCTTTCTCCTCCTCTTTCTCCTCCTCCTGTTCCTCCTCCACTTTCTCCCCTTCTTTCTCCTCCTCTTTCTCCTCCTTGTCTTTCTCTTCCTCTGCATTCTCTTCTTCTTCCAACTCTTCTTTCTCCTCTTTCCTCTCCTCTTTCACCTCCTCCTCTTTCACCTCCTCCTCTTTCACCTCCTCCTCTTTCACCTCTGCCTCTACCTCGTTCCCCCCCCATCCCTCTTGCACCTCCACGACATCATCATCATCATCTCCCTCTCTCTTCTCCTCCTCCTCAAATTCCTTTTTCTCCTCCTCCAATTCCTTCTCCTCCTCCTCCAATTCCTTTTCCTCCTCCCCCAATTCCTTCTCCTCCTCCCCCAATTCCTTCTCCTCCTCCTCCTCCAATTCCTTCTCCTCTTCCTCCACTTCTTTCATCTCCTCCCTCAATTCCTTTTCCTCCGACACCTTTTCCTCCAAATCCTTTTCCTCCTCCCCCAATTCTTTCTCCCCCTCCCCCAATTCCTTTTCCTCCTCTTCCAACTCCTTCTCCTCCTCCCCTAAATCGTTTTTCTCCTCCAACTCTTTCTCCTCCTCCTCCAACTCTTTCTCCTCCTCCTCCAACTCTTTCTCCTCCTCGTCCAATGCACCATCCTCCGCTTCCCGCTCTCTCATTTCCACCTCTTCCACTCCCCATTCTCTCACGTCCCCCTCTCCCCCTCCCCACTCTATCACGTCCCCCTCTTCCCCATCCCCGTCTCCCCCATCCTCCCCTCCTCGGATTTCCTCACACTCAACCACCGTTCGTTCAACCTCCCCTTCAGAAGAACCGTCACCAGGGGCAACAGTCACTCCAGGGAGATTCAAGATCGCTTCAGCACTGCCACCACTGCCACTGCTGCCAGCAAGAGCAGCAGCAGCAGCAGCAGGAGGAGGAGCATCACCAGCAGAAGCAGCAGCAGCATCGCCAGCAGCAGCAGCATCGCCACCAGCAGCAGCAAAAGCATCACCTGCAGAAGCAGCAGCGCCGACAGCAGCAGCAGCATCCCTGTCAGCACCACCACCACAACAACACTGTTCCCTGAGCCCACCACCAGTGCTGCTCCCTCCAGGCCCACCCCCGTTGCCGCTCGCGCATGAGGGCAGAGGAGCAGGGAGTGAAGGCGGTGGGGAGGAGGCACAGCAGGATGCATTGGCAGGTGTGAAGGGCGGCTTACCAGCACCGAGCACATCCAATGCACACTTGCCACCACCACCAGCAGCAGAAGCACCAGCAGCACGGAGATCGTTCCGCTGCCTGCAATCCGCATCCCTGTGGTTGCTGGGCGCGCTGTTGCCATGCATGCCATTGCAAATCCTTACATTCGCACCCATGCCATCTACCCCCATGCCACTTCCCCCCATGGCACAACTGGCAGCAGCAGCATCATCACCTGGTGCAGCATCACCAGCAGCAAAACCAGCATCCGGAGCAACAGCATCAACAGCAGCCGCACCACCACCACCATCACCACCAGCACCAGCCACACCATCAGGAGCAGTCAGCACGAGCCCTTGCCAGGAAAACGGCTGATCCACCCGCCAATCCTCCCACCCCCACCCACTCACCACCACCTCCTCGCCCCCCACTCTGCTCCACCACTCCACCCTCGGCACGGGGTACGGCTGCCCGATAGACTCTAGATGGTGCTGCAGCAGCACGTGGAGCGGGCAGAGGGGGTTGACGCGCACGCAGAGAGAGGAGAGAGAGCAGCGCACAGCGCGCCACTTGATAGTGCTTTCCCTCCCGTCGTCTGCCACGTAGCACGTGGGGCTCTCATCAAGACCCTCCTCACTGCTGCTGCTGCTATTTTCGCCCTCGCTGCCGCTGTCGTCACTGTTGCTGCTGCTGTTGTCACCGCTGCTGCTGCTGCTGCTATTGCTGCTGTCGTTGCTTTCGCCGTCACTGCTGCTGCGGCTGTCGTCGCCGCGATCACCGCTGCAGTTGCTGGTACTGGGGGCAGATTGGGCTACTTCTGCTGCTGCAGCAGCTTCTGCTGCTGCCGCTGCTGCTGCGGCTGCTGCTGCTGAAGCAGGGCCCCGGGCCGCAGAGGCAGAGGCAGAGGCAGGGGCAGGGGCAGGGGCAGGGGCAGGGGCAGGGGCAGGGGCAGGGGCGGGTTCGGGGGGCCAGGTGACGTGGTGGTGGAAGAGGCGTACATAGAAGGTGCACTCGCAGCGCGCCCGCCTGCCCCTCCCTGGCACCTCGTGAGGCTTCCTGTCAATCGCCACCACCCTGCCGTCGTAGTGCGCCTGCGAGGGAAAAGGAAGGAGGGGATGACGGGGCGCGGATAGGGGGGAAGAGAGGCGGGTGGTTTGCTGCTGCATAAAGCACCTCGTGCAGCTTCCTTGGAATCGCCATGCCACTGCCCTCACATTGTAGTGCGCCTGAGAGGTTAAGGGGAGAAGGGGGACAGACAGACAGAAGAGTATGGGCGGGAGGTTTTGCTGCGTGAAGCACCTCGCGGAGCTTCGTTAGAATCACCATAACCCTCACACCGCTGAGTGAATGAGAGGAGAGAGGGAGATGCAGGGTGGGCGGTTGGGGAAGAAAGAAGGGGATATAAGAAAGAACCAGCGATGATAGCTGTAAGAAGCACCTGCGGTGGTAAAATAGCATGGGCCCCAGCAGCACCACAGCAGTCCATGTGGCATATAGAGTGCACTACTACACTGGGTCGCACTCAACTCTGCATCCACACTGGCGTCTCCTTCGGGGTGCTTCAGAAATGCCACCGCCACCATGCCCTCCCTCCCTTACGCATGCGCACGCACTCCCCCGTGCTGGGCGTGCACACGCGAAGAGCCCGGCCCTGCCTCAAGCCAACCTGGGTCGCACTCACCTCGGCATCCACACTGGGGTCTCCCTCGGGGTGATTCACGAATGCCACCACCACCATGCCCTCCCGCACGCGCCCGCACTCTACCACGCTGAGCGTGCGCGAGCGCAGCCCCTCCCTCACCCAAACTCGCCACTCACCTCCTCATCCGCACTTTTGTCTCCCCCGGGGTGCTTGAAAAACGCCACCGCCACCATGCCCTTGCCCTGTCTCACCCAGAAAATCACCCAGAGAGTCGGTCCCAGCCGCAACCCAAGCTTGCCTCACCTCGGCATCCACACTGGGGTCGCCCTCGGGATGCTTCACAAACGCAACCACCACCATGCCCTCGCGCACGCGTTCGCACTCCGCCACGCTGAGCGTGCGCGAGCGCAGGCGCAGGCGCAAGCCCACCACGTCCTCATCGTCCCCCTCAAACTTGGTGTATGTCACCCGGTACTGCTGCAGACCAGGGTTCGAATCCGGCTGCTGACAATTCGGGTTCAAATCCTCATGCTGGAGACCCGGGTTCGAATCCGGCCGCTGGCAACCTGAGTGCACCTCTTCAAGCTGCAGACCCGGGTTCGAGTCCCCACGCTGGAAGTTAGAGTTCCAAACCAGACTAAAACCAGGGCTTCTATTCTCGTGCTGCGGTGGAAGTTCGTGAGGCAGGCTTAGGGGGTCATCATTAAATGAAGGGGAATGAGGGTGGTGGTGGTCTGAGGGGCCGGGGAGCAGCAGGGCAGAAGATGAGTGGTGTGCTTCTGCAGGGAAGTCCAGGGCATACATGGCACTGGGTACGGCGACGTTACCATGCGCATCCTCCTGCTGCTCCTGATGATGATGATGCTGCTGCTGCTGATGATGATGATGATGCTGATGGTGCTGATGATGCTGATGGTGGTGCTGCTGATGCTGATTCATATCCCCATCACCATCCCCATCATCATCATCACCATTATTGTGCTGATGTGCATGCTGCCCAGAGAGCCCATATGCATGCTCGTGCTGTGAAATCTGGTCATGCCCATGCGCATGGTGGTCATGATGTGAAAGGTGGCCATCCCCATGCGCATGGTGGTGTTGTGGAAGCTGGTCATGCGCATGGTGGTGTTGTGGAAGCTGGTCATGCGCATGGTGGTGTTGTGGAAGCTGGTCATGCGCATGGTGGTGTTGTGGAAGCTGGTCATGCGCATGGTGGTGTTGTGGAAGCTGGTCATGCGCATGGTGGTGTTGTGGAAGCTGGTCATGCGCATGGTGGTGTTGTGGAAGCTGGTCATGCGCATGGTGGTGTTGTGGAAGCTGGTCATGCGCATGGTGGTGTTGTGGAAGCTGGTCATGCGCATGGTGGTGTTGTGGAAGCTGGTCATGCGCATGGTGGTGTTGTGGAAGCTGGTCATGCGCATGGTGGTGTTGTGGAAGCTGGTCATGCGCATGGTGGTGTTGTGGAAGCTGGTCATGCGCATGGTGGTGTTGTGGAAGCTGGTCATGCGCATGGTGGTGTTGTGGAAGCTGGTCATGCGCATGGTGGTGTTGTGGAAGCTGGTCATGCGCATGGTGGTGTTGTGGAAGCTGGTCATGCGCATGGTGGTGTTGTGGAAGCTGGTCATGCGCATGGTGGTGTTGTGGAAGCTGGTCATGCGCATGGTGGTCATGATGTGGAAGGAGGCCAGCTGCTGCGTCGCTCCCTCTGCCCAGCACTCGCACGTCCCACAGGCTGCCGCGGTGGAAGCACTCAAAGACTGGCGTATGGGAGGAGGGAGGGAGAGCAGCGTAGCATAGGGGTGGATCGTGACCTGGGTTATAATAAACACTTTCTTGAATAATGCCGTCTCTCCCCCTCTGCCCAGCACACGCACGTCCCACGGGCTGCCACGATGGAAGCACTCAAAGACTGGCGTTGGCCGGGCGAAAAAGGACGCACAAGAGGGGGAGAGGGAGGGGAGGGGAACACAGCATAGGGGTGCGTCAGCAACAAATCCTACCTGAGCATAGGGGAATATTCACCTGAGCAGCCTCAGCAACAAATTTCACTGGACCTGCAGTATCACCTGAGCAACCGGAGCGGAAAATCACCTGGCTTGTCGACATTGTTACTGCGCACCAGGCTGAATCTGTTTTTTGAGAATCCTAAAATCACCTGGCCTGTCGTCAACGTTCCTGGGCACCAGCGTCTTCACCGCCGTAGCGGTCCCCCCGTTCCTCCTTCTCGCACCTCCCTTCCCCTTACCCCCCTTGGTGCCGTTACCCCCTTCCTTCACCTCCCTCTCTCCCTTCCCCTCCTTCCGTCCCCTCCTCCGCCTTCCTCCTCGATCCTCCCCTCTAACCGTACCCCTAGTTTCCATGCCCTTACTCCTACCCCCCGCGCGCTTCCCGCCGTTCCCTGCACTCTTCCCCGTCCCCTTCCCCTTCCCTTTCCCCGTTCCCTTCCCCTTCCCGTTCCCAATTCCCTTCCCTCTGCTCCCCGCATCCCGAGCTTCTTCCCCCCTGACCGAACGTGCGGGGCGCCTTCGCGGCATTATTTCAGCTCATCGAACAAACTAACTGTATGAGCAATTAGGGACACTTTTCTATGGGCACTAGACCTATGGGCTATAATGGGCGCTTTTCTATAACGTCGTCCATGTCGACGGCTTTGGCAAATTCGAGAGACGTAGATTCGTTTCGTTGAGGCAGACGTAGAATGGCTGTTACGATAGGGAGATAGACGCAGTCAATGGCCTAGAACATACATTTTGTGAAGCTGGCCTATGGCTGACACCGTAGTAGTAGTAACGACTTTTGAGGATAAAGAAACGTTAGAGGCGCGGAGAATACTATACGACATTATTCAGAGGACACGACATGCGGATGACATCCGTGAACCGCGAATCAGAAGGGTCAGGAACATTAGAGCGCAGCCTGACCTCCATGCAATGAGGCGTGCATGTATATGCTGTGCGGAAATCCCAAGGGGTGTGAAAGATGGGAAATGTACGCGATGCTAGCAAGCTTCGAGAAGAGCGCAAGATACACCAGCTACAAGAAAGATCGGGGTTTTGAAGCACACTATTCTTTCTCAATGCTGTGTCCAGATATGCAACTGTTTGCGAAATGAAGCGGGCCGTTCGCGAATTGCGATTTGCGACGCCGGATGCTGCTATGGGATGGGCCAATGCCAACGGAACGCTGCGGCTTTGGAAACACGAGTGGTTCTGCTGAGCCGGTTTGTACACAGGGTAAATGTCTTAAAGTGTCTAGAACCGTATATTCTATGTTTGGGAATTTGTGAGGCTACGCGTGATCATTGTTGCCAACAGACTGCTTTGTTCTCAACCCGAGTCCACAACTCCATGCTCGCAGTCTGGCGCTCGGTCGGTCTGGGTTTTCTAACACATGTATGTTTTGGTATATAGCCATCAGACTCTCCGAGTTCCTTCGGAAGAAATTGGGTTGGGGAGAATTGGTCCTGTGGAAAATATGGTTCTGCACCTAGCCTCCCTGGAGGCGGCAAACCGAAAAGTTCACTGCCGAACCAAGAAAGCATCAAACTATTCTTGTCAGCCAATCACAGGAGCCCACACCTGATCCCCCAAGATTGCGGTTCGGGCGTTGGAATCCTTCACATAACAGCATTTGTGCCACGAGGCACCGTGATTTGAGGGTCCGCTTGAGGAAGCTGCGAACTGCATCTATTGCAAACACCCGGTAACATGATCCCGTGAACGAGAATGTAACAACTAATGCCGAATCAGCGACGCTGGAATTTACCAATCAGCTCGTAGCTAGCGACAAGCGAAAAGTGATGTTGATCAGGTGATACCTTCCCCACCTCTCGTACCAATCAGCTGCCCTCTCTCTGCTTGTTTTGTTCGCAAACCCTAATCGGCATTCACTACTCTAGACCAGACCAGACTATACTTAGGTTCCATTTAGGCGTGTTGCACGCAAGCCCCAGTTTACTTTAGGGCGACGTCCAATGGCGTCGGACCCAGCACCGTCCACGGACAAGTGGATGAATTTTCTGACGGAGGCGAATCTCGACGACGACACCTACGTGCCCGGCGTGCTGCTGCCGTCGCAGCCTGCGTCAGAGCAGGTCGCGTGCAGGTACGCGCTGGTCTAGTTCACGTTAGGTTTCTAGATGAACGGATTCTACTCCAACCTCCAGAATTGCGTCTGCCGGACCATCGCTCCAACGCTTACATTTTGGATAAGTCGACTATTGAGTCGACTCACAGTAGGGCGACTTGATTTTGCCAGTTTGTTTCCGTGACGTCGCACGCACTAGCTTCTTCGAAAGATTCGATCAGGGCTTGTGTGTGGAACCTCTTAACTCTTTAAAACCTGTTGGATTTGGAACGTCGCTCCAGGTCCCTCCCAGTATGCGCGTTGAACGGTGGTTCGCCGTCTCACACGTTCGACCTTTCAGTGCCGTGTTACACAATTCGCCAACGCTCGATGTCTTGTTTCGCAATCTCTCAACGTTAAGCTGTCGCCTTACGAGCTTCGTCAGTCGTCGAATGTCACATCTATTCATCAATCTTTCGCTGTCCACTTACGAAACTCGTCGGTCTCACTGATTGTCTCACGCCATTCATCAGTCACTCAATGTACCCGTACGCAATCCGTCAGCCTCTCAGTCACTCAGTGTCGCCACACGACATTCGTCAGTCACTCAATCACTCACTACACGCGTACTCCATTCGTCAGTCCTTCCGTCTCTCAGTGTCGCCGTACTGACTTTTGAGTCGACTCAAAAGTCAAACTCTCAGTCACTCACTGTTCCCGTACTCTATCCGTCAGTCCTTCCGTCTCTCAGTGTCGCCGTACTGACTTTTGAGTCGACTCAAAAGTCAAACTCTCAGTCACTCACTGTTCCCGTACTCTATCCGTCAGTCCTTCCGTCTCTCAGTGTCGCCGTACTGACTTTTGAGTCGACTCAAAAGTCAAACTCTCAGTCACTCACTGTTCCCGTACTCTATCCGTCAGTCCTTCCGTCGCTCAGTGTCCCCGTACGCAATCCCTCCTCCTGTGGACCAGTGCCGCGCCACACCATTCATCCATCACCCGTTCAGTTCCATCTCCCCTCCCGCTCCTCTCCCCTCCGTTCTCCCCTCCTCCATCCCCACGCCTCCCCTCGTCGCCCTTCCGCTCTCCCCTCCCATCCCCACTCCTCTCCTCTCCCTTCCCCTCCCCCACTTCTCTCCTCTCCCCTCCCCCCCTGTCCTGCGCGCATGTGCAGCGCCGAGGGCGGCGGCGGCAACACGGAGGAAGGCGAAAAGACGGGTTCCAGCAGCAGGAAGAGGTATGGGCGGGGGAGGTAGGGGGTGGGGGGTAGGGGAGAGACGGGGTAGGAAGGGGAAGAGGGGGTGGGGGGAAGAGAAACGTGGGAGAAGGGGGGAGAGGGGGTGGGGGAAAGGAAGGTGTTGGAGGGAGAGGGCGGTTGAGTGAGGAAGGGGGGTGTGGATTGTCTATGGCGCCGAGAGTGACGGCGCGGCAGGGGCACGGAGGAATGTGAGTAGACGGGTCGAGCAGCCGGAAGCGATGAGGGGAAGGGGGGATGCAAGGGGAGGGCGAGAGGGAGTGATGAGAGGAAAGGGTGAGGGGAAAAGAGCGAGAGCGAAAGGAGACAGGTAAGTGCGAGAGGGAAGGCAGGTCGTGCTGACCTGTCTTTGCCGTCGTGTCGTGTCGCCATTGGTTGCCACGTGTCGCTTTGGTTGACTCACGATTCGTTCTTGAGTTTTGCTACCACCTCCCCGCCCTGCCACGCTCTTGCGTTGTCGTTCTCCGTGTGCCAGGTCGCGGGATGAGGGCGCGGCCACCGCTGACGTGTCATGCAGCAAGGCCAACCGGGAGAAGATGAGACGCGACCGACTCAATGACAGGTGACACGTGGCAGGTGGTCATTCGGTGACAGGGTGGCAGGTGGATGCTGACTCCATGGCGGGAGAGAGGTGGCATGGCTGGTTACTGAATATGCGACAGATGCGGTGTATGTATTCTTGAGAATTTTTCAAAATTACCCTGAAACGGTAGGTTAGTGGTTGTGCGACCGATGTAATCATGAGTGTGGCATTGCATTGCCAGGTAGAAGCTGGCAGATGACAGATGGTAGTGGTGACACGTGCACATGCACACTCACTCACACACACACACACACACACACTCACACACACACTCACACACACACACACACACTCACACACACTCTCTTACACACACACACACTCACACACACACTCACTCACACACACACACTCACACACGCACACACACTCACACACACACACACACTCTCTCTTACACACACACACACACACACACACACACACACACACACACACACACGCCCACACTGCCATTGCCTATCAAGACGTAGTGGGATCTATCAGAGTGCCCTTCATACCCCCACCCCTCCCTCCTTTTCCCCGCCCCCCTCTTCCCTTCTCCAGGTTTCTGGAGTGAGTGAGCCATTGGAGCCCAGCAAGGCGTACTGGGAGTCGGTCACTGGAGCCGGTGGGTCAGCCCGTGCCTCAGTCGATGCATCAGCGTACTGAGAGTCGCTCCCTTCCCATCCCAACCGCTCCCTTCCCACCTCACTGCCACCGTGCTGCAGGTTCCTGGAGCTGAGCCGATCACTGGAACCAGGCAAGGCGCCCAAGGCGGACAAAGCGAGTATCCTGTGTGACGCGGTCCGCGTGCTCTCCCAGCTGCACTGCCCATCGCACACCCCCCTTTTTACACGGCTCCCTCAGAGGTTCCTGGAACTGAGCTGGTCATTGGAACCTGGCAAGGGGCAG